AACTTGGGAAAGCACATTGGCCTGTCCAAGGTCGGGCAACTCATTTCAAGCAGCAGCAGGATAGGAACCCAGATTCTCTATCCCTGCATTTGAATGCATGTTTTCACAGCCTCCTCAGACTCCAGATATAGGCAGGAAAGAATCTCATTCTCCAACCCCACCCCCATCACCACTACCACCACATCAAGACAGTATAGGATTAGAGCAGAGTCTTTGAAGTCAGCCCCGGACTCAAGTACTGGTTCTTGCCATTTTTAGCCCTATGGGCATGTTACCTTGTAATAGTCTGAGCCTCAAGTTCCTCATCTGTATAATGGGAAAAATAATACCCTCCTTACAAGATTGTGATGAGGGTTGAATTAGATTATGTGTGTAGAAGACTTATCGTAGAGCCAGGCACACAGTTAACTACCATGTTCTAGGTCTGCCTGTATGCTTCTCTCCTCCCTCCCTCCCTTATGTAGCCAGAATGGGTCTTTGATAAATAGTGGCTTCCCAGTAATGATTTCCTGAGAAAGCTCCTAGGCGTGGAGAATGGATTTGCTAGAAATTCTCTTGTGTGTCCGTGGTTTGCATCTGTTTCCATCTGTAGGCAGGGCCCCTTGGATCCTCTTGGAGTATGACTTCATACATTTGCTTTAGGCTTGGACTCGCCTTTTCAAATGAGCTTTGCCCCTCTCCACGTTGTCTGCAGTAGATGACTGCAGTAACCTGAATGTGTTACTTAGAATCAGACATTTTACAACGATGTCTTTCATTATGAAACTGTGTCTCTTTATCTGTATCCTTTTTCTTTTGCATAATACTGTACACATCATTTTCCTGCACAGTGACCTTCTGAAGAGTCTCGATTTTCTCTCCCCATTGCAGCTAGCACTTCATGTTTGGAGTGTTCTTTCATCAATTTCCCTTTGTATTAGGAGATACGAACCTCCTTGGTGTGATGATAGTTACAGGGGCCTTTGTCTCGTTTAATAAGATCACTTGGCTGAACACTTGGCTTGAGCCTCTCATCCTGGGGCTGTTTGAAGTGCTGCCTGCACACATGTGGAAACTGTATGTATTTGATCTCCATGATTGCACGAGACAATTTTATGCAACGTTAAGTTCCTTGTTCTACTTCCTGTTACAGGGGGATTTTTTTGTGTGTGGTTTGAAGTAACGTTTGTTTCTTATGCGGTGCTTTCTTTTTTTCGGAAAGGCAAATTGTGTTTCTAAAAAAGCATCCGAATGAAATTTGGAGAGGAAAAATGATAAGGTAAATTTCTATTAGGTGGGGGTGACACATGACAAAAAAATCAGACTTGACTGGTCTTCCCATTAATTTAGTTTAAATGTCATGTGTGTTTTTAGTCTGTCAGGTAATTTTCCCGTTGCTGCAAAGTGCCCTTTGAGGCATACAAGATATAGGAATGCTTGTAAAATGAATGGCAGCAATTATTATTCAAATGAGGGGGTACCAACCGGGAGAAGCACAGCTTGGAGGCTTGTTACCGCGTGAGATTTAATTGCATTGTATATTTGTGAAGATTTCTAAATTTTAACATAATGTAATAGTAAAGCTCCCTTGGAGGAGAAAAATGGTACTTAGAAATTCCAGTTACTGAACTTAGTGAGCCCACTGATGCACATTTCTTCACAATAGAGGGCATTTATTAACGTTTTGGTTCTGGGATGTGCCCTAAGGGGCTTTTCCACCACATCAGTATTCATGAGCATTGTCAGAAAATAGCAGTTACCTGCCTCTATTAGAGAAGTATCTTCTTGGAAGATGCGGAATTTACTGTTATTTAAAGTGGAGGGTCCAGTGTCTATATGCCCTTGTAGGAGGAAAAACAAAGATCAGTTTAAGACTTAGGACTGCTCCAGTTGTTTTGATCAGCTTGCCATGTTTTCCTTTTTTGGATTTTTAGGGGTGTGTGTGTGTGTGTGTGTGTGTGTGTGTGTGTGTTTAAGAGGTCCATCAGATAGACACTGTTGGATTATGAAGAACCTCTGAGTTAATCATGTCTAGTCTTTTATAGACCCTTTTTCTTTAAAAAAAAAAAAAATGGCTGATTCAGTAGGTCCATTTTGGAAATGGTGTAGCTCTGCCTGTGAATATCTTAGTGAAGCCATATGTCCCGAAACTGTCCCACCTCCTTGTTTTCGTGTCTCTCAAAGCACTCACCAGATTCTACCTTATAGGTGCTAAGCAACTTTCCTTTCTTCTTCCCCTTCTGCCTTCCCACAATCAAGATTCTCTTCCTCATCTTGGAAGTTGAATGGGATTAACATCCAGAGTATAGGTACCTTGGTCATTTTTCAGGGTAAGATTGAGGTACATAGACTCCTGGGCGTCCTTCATGGCTACTACTCACTGAATTGAACTATGTCAGGACTGGATTCAGAAGGGCTCTTTCTGATAACCTCTGTCAAAGCTTAGGCCTTTAGAAGGCCCAGCAGAGACCCATGAGTGAAGTGTAGAGGACTTGAAGTTCTGAAGGCGAGTACCTCCCTTTTGAAATGGGAGCCTCCTTCTGTTCAGCTCACAACTGGCAAGGACAGACAAAGGTTTTGTTCAGGTCATTCCATCAATACCCTACGGGAGGAGAACCCCCGAGCCAGACTCCCTAAACTCAGCATCCTGGATCCGTTTCGCTGATGTTGGGCAGCTGTCCAGATCCCGGTGGGGAGGCAAGATCCTGGCTGTCACCCCCACCACCTGGCTGTCCTGGTTACTCTTGATTTGCTTGAAAATGTGTCCATTTCTCTGTAAAAGTTGAGGAAACAGTCATGCCATATACCTGTTGGTAGTCACTAGCCTCTACCTATCGGTAATTAAGTATACCAAGTGGTATTAACTTCCACTTGCTGAGTACCTGATAAAGTCCCTGAAAGTTCTAGACACCTTATGTAACTCTCATTTTAATTTCCTGCTGCTGCTGTGAGGGAGGTGTTGTTACAAATAACATGAAATACATGCGGTGTGCTTCACACAGTAGGGGTTTGGGCTCCCCATGCTGTTTCTGGAATATGCACTCCATGGCAGCACAATCTCCATCACTCTTACTCACCAGGATAGTGCCTGGCCCGTGGCAGCTGTCCAATAAATATTTGTTGAACAGATCATAAAAAGTGTTAGAGGTCTCCGTTTTTACACACGAGCAAACTAAAGCTCAGAGAGGAGAGGTTTAGTAATTGAGCTACAGCAGGAATTCAGTGGCTGAGGCAGGGCCGGAACCTGGACCCAGCTAGCTCCAGCGCAGAGTCGGTGCTCCTCACCCTTCTACTGCTCACCCTGAGGGGAAGGAATGGTTCTAGTAGGCAGTGGTAAATGCCTGGCAAGTGTCCCGGGATGGGAGAGCCCTTGGATATGTGCTGTTTGTGGACTGGCTGTTTGGGAAGACGGCCTTGCTCCTGGAATCGGGAGCCAGGATGCCACAGTGCCTGCAGCCCACACTCAGACTTTGGGCCGGCAGCAGGGCCTGGCCCTCTTCCCTCCTGCAGGCTCCTCGGTCATTTGTCCCTTGCAGTCTCTTAACCTTTCATTGATTGTTGGGCCCTGGCTCTCTAGCAGATGCCCTGCCTCCCTTGACAGACTGATTTTTTTTTTTTTTTTAAGTGGGAGAGGAGGAGGGGAGGGACAGAGGGAGAAGGAGAAAGAGAATCCCAAGCAGACTACCCGCTGAGCGCAGAGCCCGACGCGGGGCTCGATCTCACGACCCAGAGATCATGATGTGAGCTGAAACCAAGAGTCGGATGCCCAACCCACTGAGCCACCCAGGCGCCCCTGCCTTGACAGGTTTCTGCTCTGGATCCATAGAGTATACTGCTTTTTTGGTCTATGCTATCTAAAGGAACATGATTTTAAGAAAGTAATTTTAAGTGATCAAAATGGATGTGGTAGAAAAAGCACATATACTTTGGGAGACTGGCAAATTGCAAGCATATACAATTTTATGTCATAGGAACCTCAGTGTACTCCTCTCCTTTACATCGATTTGCATGGATAAGACAAATGCTTTCTTTTCTCCATTGTTTAGATAACTAATGAGGTTTGCTGCTTTTCCCAATATAATTTGGCAGTGGTTTTTATCTGTCACCTATATTCAAACTGCTAGGCAGTGTTTCGTAATGATGTCCAAAGAGACCTGTAGCGGCGCAAATATCAAATTGACTGACATTGTAGTTATATGTGGGCTTCTGTATAAATAGGTGCCCTGTTATCAAACTAGAATTACAGCGAGAATACCATCTTTCCCTTCAGCCCCATGGTGAGGTCACATAAATTTAAGTTATAGGAGAATAAACTTGGCCATAAAAAAACCCATTTTACCCCTTCAACCAAAGCAATATCCCAAATCTGAGTTGTTACTTGAATAAAACTCATGTTCTTTCATCCTTCTATCAAGTTAATTGTGTGTTTAAGAATTCAAGAGAATGCTTCCCAAGGTTCTTTTATTCTTTTGTGTTTACTATTGATTTCTTTTTGTTTATAGAATCACAGGGGCCTTGGGAGATAAATATTAGGTACCTGCCTCAGGCAAGACTGTATTCAAGTCATCCTTAAATGGTCCCACGTTCTCTTCTAGAATGTCTTAAGAGCTAAAAGCATCTTTGGGGCATTGTTACAATGGATCATTTACTTGGGAAGTTTTTCCTAATATCTCACCTAACCTCTTTCCCTTGTGGTCTTGTTCGGAAAAATAAAAGGAGTTGAGTTCAAAACATCTCTTTTTCTGAGTTTATAAAGAGGGTGTTGCTCTATAGCTTTCCTCCTCAGCGTTAAATAAATATTGATATTGATGTTAGTGTTTATGACACGGGGGTGTCAAAAATGATCAGTGCACTTTCCCTTCAGTGCTTTAGAGAAATGAAGAAAAGGGAACAAAAGCAGGTTATGACTCACTTCAAGGCTGTCGGGATGCTACCAAGTGGTTGTGGTACCTTGAAAATGGATTTACTTCATTACGGCTGTGGAAACGATTTTGAATTTATTTTTCGTTGTTTATTTTTAGGTGCATTTTGACCAATTTAAAGAAGCATTAATACTTATCTTGTCTAGAACTCTGTCAAATGAAGAGCACTTTCAAGAACCAGGTAAGGGCACTCACTAACTTTTCTTCTCTACATTCCTCTTTAAAAATTGTCCAGGGAAGAATTCGGGGACCTTGAAGCATGTCTATGAAAGCTTTGGGCATCTGTCTGCCTTTTACAGATTGAACAGTTATTTTCAGTGACTTGTCTTTTGATATTACCCTAAAAGCCTTGCAGCTGTTGAACACTAAAATGAGTCTTCCCTACCACAACAGTGTATTATGGAAGAAATAATTGGATTGTTCCTAGGCAATATGTCAGATGGTGTGCCAGTAACTCATTCCTGGAATGAGCAGAGTGAAGGTGGATGGTACTTCCTTCGTCCTGCTTCCTGTGTAGGGGAAGGATCTGAGTCAGGGGTGGGGGGGGGGGGTGGGGGGTGGGTATTTTGCCTGAAAGAAGAGTGGTCAATCTAGAGATAATCTTATTTAGTCCTCGTAGGTGGATAAGACATTATCACATTATATTATAATTGATAATATGTATCTCAAGCGATAGCTTTTGAGGACCATGTTGTTCATTTTTGTATTTTCAGTGTCAAGGGGAATACTTCACACATAGTAAATATTCAACGAATGTTAAAAAACAAAGAATGTTACACTTTACTGATTTTTTTTTTAAAAGCACTATAGATTATAAGACATCATTGTTTTATGTATCTCTGAAAATAAAAAATTTTTTGCCAGTTATAATAGTAAAATGCCATTGATTGTAAGACTTATCCTAATGTCAGAGTGTTCAAATCTTGGGGGGGGTGGTGTCTGTGTGTGTGTTTATGTGTTTGTGTGTCTGTCATAGGATCAATGAAATACAATAAATACTTAAAGTCTAAACAGGGCTGAAATTTTTATTATAATACAGTCCCATTTTATCAAATCATTGGTTGTCAGATTTGGGTTAGGGGTTGTCTATAAAGGAGCATGAGGGGACTTTTGGGGTGATGAAACTGTTTCATATCTTGATTGTGGTGGTAGTTACAAAATACTAAGAGTTTTTCCAACCCATAGAATTGTGCGCTAAAAGTGAAATTCTGTGTGAATTATACCTCAATAAACCTGATTTTTAAAAAGATAACAAAAATATAGTCCAGGTTTTGAGATTGAGGAGAAATCATTAACATTTTGTCACTACAAAGACTCATTCAATGTGACCTATTTAGATAAAGCACAGATGGGAACTCATTTCTTCACTGGTGATCTAGTTCTTCCTTGTACTTCTAGAATGCTTAAGATTTGTGTCATGTGTATGCACATTGCATTTAGCAGTATTTTGGATTCCAGATTGAATCGCCCCTTTCTGCCTGTTGTCACCACCCCTAAGAAGGTTATCTTCGACTCTGAGGCTTGCCAGCGCTCTCTAGAAGCCCACAGTGAGCCTGTGGGGGAGGTTATTGCCTTCTGGAGACTTTCCAGACTACTAATAGAATTACTACAGATGACCACTGCTGGAACATGGGCTTCTGTTCTTACAAGGTCTCACATTGTTGGTATTTTTACTTATTCAAGGTTGTCTTTCATCTTGATAACAATAGCCCAAGATCTAGGGACCCTGAGTAGAGCTATGGTGCCATCTCTACATTTTAGTTAATAAGAGCCTCTGTAACCTAAGAATTCAGTTTGTTGCTCTTCTATGTGTTGATCATGTGCTTTTATGTGGGTTTGGAATGGGCAGTCCTGCCACCAGTCCACATGGTCTCTTTGCTGCCCTTTCTTCAAAAGCTGTATGATCACTTGCCAGAAAATGGTCATACTAAATGTACCGATTTATGGTGACCACAGATGTGAAGGGTACCTCCTAGAGTTGCTCAGTGTTGGGATCTAAATAATAGGATGAGGAAGTAGACAAAGGCTGGCTGAGCTTGGTCATAGCCAAGCTATGGCTTACGAATGATTTACGAATTTATGATTTACGAATCTGGCTCCCAATGGTGGGTTCAGAGTTCTGTGTGTGCCTCACTGCAGTGCAGGTCGAGACCATAATTTGGACAGGTTTTCCAGGACAACACACAGAAGGGATTTTATCGTGGCACTGTGTGCTCTGTCCTTTGGGTAGGCTGTTGCAGACCTTCGTGAGAGAGCTGCCCCAGATCAGGGGAATGAAGCAGCAGAGTACCTATCGACAACATTTTACACAGCGCTTGTGGGCCCTCCCTAATGTTTGGCCTGCAGGATAAAAGCTAAGATTGAGCCAGCACCTTAAAGACTGTTCTATCTCTTAGGAGCCAGTGAGTCAGCCCTGCCTCCCACAGTCCCCGCTTTGTTCCTGAGCATCTCTGCTTTTTCTGTCTCTGGCCCAACTCGCTCTGGCCCCTCCAGTTGTTCCTGGGGATCATGCAGTTCTTTCCACTGCAACATTCTCTCACCCACTCGAAAATGCGATTCAACCCCCACAGCCTGGTAAGCAAGCGACAGAGAAAGAATGTTCAGGACTCAAACGCAATATCCGGAGTCTGCCTGAGGTCACTCCCTTCTTCCCCTTTATGAAGATGACTATCCCCTAAATCCTAGACCATACCTTCGTAGGGCTGGAGAGAATGCTGGCGTTTTCCCCATGAGCACACCAAGACCTGAAGAGACACGTGGCTTAATTGAAATCTCACACGTGGTGGCAGAGGAGGATGCTGCCGCTGTGTCACCGGGGGGCTCCTCCTCTCGAGGAAGCTCTGGCTTAAGAATGTCAACCCCCAGATGGTTGAGCTGGGGGCAGACCCAGTCCTCAGTCAGTACGGCCTGGCCACAGAGATTTTGACAACTGGCCAGAGTCAGCAGGAAGGAGTGAAAAGAGCAAGTTTCACCTGATCATTAGTGACAGGAATGTCTGTGTCTGCAGCCGCCTTTGGCTTTTCAGTACTTAATTCGTCTTGTACCGCAAGGGCCAGACCTGTGGTGTTTTTGTCTTGTCTTTTGAAATCAACGGACCAACTAGACTTTGAGAGGAAAATTGCCCTTAAGCTATGGAAGGTGACTGAAAGAACAGGGCCACAGTGCACAGCCTTTGAAATGGAATGGGTCACGAATGGGTATTTTATAACACCTTTTTTATAGGTTAAAAATACCGGACGCTGTACCAGACTATAATATAGAAAGCCCAGCTTGATATGGTGGGAAAGGCCCTCGAGCCAGGAGTGATAAAATACTGTCCCTGCCTCTCTAATTGGGTGGCCTCCTACGTCACCTCCTCTGTGGTCTTCGGTCACCTCATATGTGAAAGAGGTTGTACTGGAAGATACTTAAGATCTGTTCAGCTCCAAGATTCAGTCGTGTCATCTCTGAGTATCTAAATGACATCTAAATTCATGAAAAAGACTAGCTTTGTGTTTCTGTCAGACTCTCCCTAACCTAAATTGACACTGGGAAGTTCTGCTTGCTAAGGACAAATGCCTAGTGGACTTCATGCTTTCATATTCCTCTAATAAAAGACAGTTATATATAAATAAAAACAAAGCTATATTAGAATTTGAGATGAGGGGTGCCCGGGTGGCTCAGTCAGTTAAGTGTCCCAGTCTTGGTTTCGGCTTAGGTCATGATCTCAGGGTGGTGAGATCGAGCCCCACGTCAGGCTCTGGGCTGGGCATGGAGCCTGCTTAAGATTTTTTTCTCTCCCTCTCCCCGCCTCCTCTCTCTTTCTCTCCCTCTTAAAAAAAAAAAAGAAAGAAAGAAAGAAAGAATTTGAGAGGAGATGGAATTAAATCATTATTTCCAGACTTGGGTTCTGCCATTTATAATTTCTCTAAGGTACAGTTTCTTTATTTTTAAAATTAGTGTGATGATTTTTCATACTAGATGATTTTCAACATCCATTCTACTCTGATAATTTATGATTTTTTAAAATTTTTTATTGTTAATCATCATACGTTACATCATTAGTTTTTCATGTAGTGTTCCATGATTCATTGTGCATAACACCCAGTGCTCCACGCAGAACGTGCCCTCTTTAATACCCATCACCAGGCTAACCCATCCCCCCACCCTCCTCCCCTCTAGAACCCTCAGTTTGTTTTTCAGAGTCCATCATCTCTCATGGCTCGTCTCCCCCTCCAACTTACTCCCCTTCATTCTTCCCCTCCTGCTATCTTCTCCTTTTTTCTTTTTTTTAAACATATATTGCATTATTTGTTTCACAAGTACAGATCTGTGATTCAACAGTCTTGCATAGTTCACAGCGCTCACCATAGCACATACCCTCCCCAGTGTCTATCACCCAGCCACCCCATCCCTCCCACCCCCCACCACTCCAGAAACCCTCAGTTTGTTTCCTGAGATTAAGAATTCCTCATATCAGTGAGGTCATATGATACATGTCTTTCTCTGATTGACTTATTTCACTCAGCATAGCACCCTCCAGTTCCATCCACGTTGTTGCAAATGGCAAGATCTCATTCCTTTTGATGGCTGCATAATATTCCATTGTGTATATACACCACCTCTTCTTTATCCATTCGTCTGTCGATGGACATCTTGGCTCTTTCCACAGTTGGGCTATTGTGGACATTGCTGCTATAAACATTGGGGTGCACGTACCCCTTCGGATCCCTACATTTGCATCTTTGTGGTAAATACCCAGTAGTGCAATTGCTGGATCGTATGGTAGCTCTATTTTCAACTGTTTGAGGAACCTCCATACTGTTTTCCAGAGTGGTTGCACCAGCTTGCATTCCCACCAACAGTGTAGGAGGATTCCCCTTTCTCCGCATCCCCGCCAACATCTGTCGTTTCCTGACTTGTTAATTTTAGCCATTCTGACTGGTGTGAGGTGGTATCCTATTGAGGTTTTGATTTGGATTTCTCTGATGCCGAGCAATGTTGAGCACTTTTTCATGTGTCTGTTGGCCATTTGGATGTCTTCTTTGGAAAAATGTCTGTTCATGTCTTCTGCCCATTTCTTGATTGGATCATTTGTTCTTTGGGTGTTGAGTTGGTTAAGTTCTTTATAGATTTTGGATACTAGCCCTTTATCTGATATGTCATTTGCAAATATTTTCTCCCATTCTGTCGGTTGTCTTT